CTTCACCTCTTTGGTTAAGTATTTGGTTAGGTATTATTTTATTTTTTGAGGCTATTACAAATGGAGTTGCTTTTCTAATTTCAGCCTCATTCTTGTTGTTGGCCTGCAGAAAAGGTACTGATTTTTGTAGGTTAATTTTATACCCTGATACTTTGCCAAAATTTTGCATCAGATCAAGTAACTTGGGAGAAGGGTTCTGTAAGGTCCATTCCTGGACTGCGAACAGACCTCGCCCAGTACCTGCGTTACCTAGGCAACTGGGATACCTGGAAGAGGTCACATCCGCATCCGCTGAGGTCACATCTTAACCTGATGTGGCCACACCTTTCTCCCACCTGATCCCACTTCCCTTTACCTGGACACACCCTTCCCCACCCCCTACCCTATATAAGGCCTAAACCGCGGCCAGACCCGCCCTCTTTTCCTTTTGCCAGCCGCGTGGAGTGCCAACCTTGCCTGGTCCCAGCAGGTCTACTGAATAAACCTACCCCTTACCTGAATACCACGTGCGTGGTGCAGTTCTTACTCGGCCACCTCTTTTTAAAAACCTAACAGGTTCTTTATACACAGGATCATGTCATCTGCAAAGAGGGAGAGTATTATTTCTTTCCCTATTTGGATCCCCTTTATGTTTGTCTCTTGTCTTATTGCTCTGGCTAGCAATTCCAGTAATACTGAAGAGGGGTGGAGAGAATGGATATCCTTGTATTATACCTAATTTGAGAGGAAATAGTTTTAACTTTTCACCATTAAGTATAATGCTAGCTGTAGGTTTGTCTTATATAGCCTTTATTATATTGAAGAATGCTCCCTGGGTTCCTAGTTTCTTCAGAGCTTTCATCATAAACGGGTGTTGGAGCATGTCAAATGCTTTTTTCACATCTACTGAGATGATCATGTGGTTCTTGTCCTTGCTCCAATTGATGTGTTGAATTATATTAATTGACTTGTGTATATTGAACTAGGTTTGTATCTCTGGAATGAATCCCATTTGGTCATTGTATATAAGTTTTTTGATCACTTGTTGAATTTGGTTGGCCAGAATTTTATTGAGAAGTTTGGCATTGATGTTCATTAAAGAAATGGTTTATAGTTCTCTTTCTTTCATGGGTCCCTATCTGGTTTGGGGATAAGATTTATGCTGGCTTCATGGAACAAGTTCAGTAATGATCTTTCACTTTCAATTTCATTGAAGAGTTTGTCCATTGTGGGCTTGGTGAGAACAGTTAAAGGAACCATATTAGCACATAGAAGGGAATTATTTCTATCTTCAGGAAGGGAAGACTTCATAAAGAAAGTGACCCTTGAGGGGATCTGGAAAGTTGGAGGGTTGCATGTTCCTAGTGTCTAGGTACGCACTGCAAACATCCTAGAGGGAAGGAAAGGATGAGCAGAGACTCCTTCCAGCAAAGAGGCTAAGCCCAGGGGATGGACCCTGGACCATGTCTAGGCAGCCACTTGGCTTTTTGTTTGTTTGGGTTTGGTTGCTGTATTAATGATTCAACTCAGAGCCACCTCCTAACAAATACTTGATCCACACCACAAGCCCTTTTGCTTTTATTTTGTTTTTGAGGCAGGTCTTGCAGCTCCCTTTGCCCAGGTCTTCTTCCCTCTACCTCCTGAGTAGCTGGGATTGCAGGCTTGCACCACCATATCAGGCTCACATGAGTTCTCCTCCTTACATAGTCACAGTTGCTATTGCTTTATCTTTAAGTAGTTGTACAAAGGAGTTTCCATTTAACAAAGCAGTCTATGATACAATGCATCTTGAATCAATGTCACCCTTTTAACATTTGCACCCATACCATCCCTACCCACCCCTGTCATGTTGCTTTTAGGAGACGATTTCTACCACTGATTATAAAACATTCTGGCAAAATGATGGCAGCAGAGCCTTTCCCTGTACATGCGTGACAGAAAACAGACTAATGTTCAAAGTTTTTTTGTTTTTGTTTTTTGTGTTGGTTCTGGAGCTAGAACTCAAGGCCTAGGTTCTGTCCCTGAGCTTTTCTGCTCTACCACTTAAGTCATGACTCCACTGCTAGCTATTTTTGGTGATAATTAGAGATAAGCATCTCATGGACTTTTCTACCTGGGATGGTTTCCAACTATGATCCTCAGAACTCAGTCTCCTGAGTAGCTAGGATTACAGGCATGAGCCACTGACACCCAGCTAGGTTCGAGTTTTATTTTAGTACATACCATATATAAATAGAGACCTCTTGTTTCTTCATAGAGCCCAAATCAAGATGGTGCTCATGCAAAATAAACACAAAGTTAACTACACACACATAGTGAAGAGCAATGAAGGATTGCCAAATGCTTTGGAAAGATGGAAAAGCAAAATTTATACTATAGCATGCTTCTCTTTTTGGTCATACCCAAAGTCCATCTCATTATGGTAACCACCAATCCAAAATCCTATGTAATGCCCTAAGTCTATCTATGGCCTTCACTTCCTTTTGTATTCATGTCTTGTAGGAGTATCTAACTGTTCTTTGTAATGTAAAATTAATTTAGACTCCTAATTCTATACCCTGCCCAGCAGGGTCCTTTATTATGCTGATTGAACTAAGAGAAAGACATGAAATTCCACCCAGAAAATTCTAGAAGATAGGATGGAGAAAGGGTCTGAATTCTTACACTTTACATATTTGTTCCCTCACTCCTGTATTTCACTAGTATGTGACGTACCTCAGTCTGAATACAACTTTGATCTTTGCTGTCCATGTAACTATAAGCTACTAATACTTCTGGAACTCAATTCCTATTTCCATAAGATTGAATGATTATCCTTTTTCCAAGATGAGTATTGGGAAATAACAGGAGAAAAGCAAGTATAAGGGGTTCTGCCTATATCTTTGGCAACAAGTAGTGTGATTGCAAGTGTTTTTTGTTGTGTTGTACCAGTACTGGGGCCTGAATTCAGGGCCCAATCCCTTTTGCTAAAGGCAGAGTTCTGCCACTTGAGCCACAGTTACATTTACAACTTGTTTGGTGGCAATTGGAGATAAGAATCTCACAGACTTTCCTGCTCAGGCTGGTTTTGAACTGTAATCCTCAGATCACAGCCTCCTGGATAGCTAGTATTACAGGTGTGAGCTATAAGCACCCAGCTTACAAGTGTTATTATCTGCTAACATTGTACACAGCTGCCTTCTATGAACTGGCAGAAGTCCATATGGAAAACTTGGTTATCTGAGTGATAAAACTAATTGCCAATTTATGACAATGATACACAATTACAGTAATTTAATAGGGTTCAACTTTTATTGTCATTTTTCTCCTTTAAAATTTTTAATTTATTTTACTAATCATTCTTTTTCAAGATCATATATTGTCCAGATCTGATTTTAGTAAAAGTTTCAAGAACAATGCATTATGTCTATGTCCTGAAAATCTAAGGTGTATTTCCAGATGCAATGCTCCCTTGAAGGCTGACCATCTATCTACTTTCCATAATACTACAGTGTTGTCTCCTGGTACAGCTACGAAGTATATATTTTCTATAACACAAATTTTAAAATCTTGATGAGTCAGTGTTCATGGGTCAAGGAAGAAACCATGATCACACATTTGTGAGCTAGATTTTCATTGCTGCTCTGAAAAATATCATGACAATAAAAAATTTCTAACACTTTCACCATTTTTACCAAGAGTTTTTCTATGAATATGTGTAAATTGTATATTATATCTTCACTGTTTACCATGCTGCTATATAATCATCATAATTAGTATTATTTTAATGGCCATGTAATCATCCACCTTGTTAATACACCATAATTTACTTCACTAAATTTTCAACAACAGGAGACAAATTGTTTCCAATTTTTCCTGTTATAAATAAACCTTAGGTCATATATTTGTGCTTATATATAGCTTCTTTCATTTATTTCTTTTTTTCATTTTTTTGTAGATATGTCCTTAGTGGACACTCCTAAAAATGGGATCACTGGATTAGAGATATAAACTTTAATAATTTAAAATAATAATTTTATCATTATTTTGCCAGTTTTAATGCCATCAACAATATGGTAGCATTTTACTTGCATTAAAACCTTCTCAAAAGTATATGCTCCTGTCTGATATTTAATTACTTACATTGTACCTTTTGTTTTTATATTTTCTCAAAAATAGCAAGTTTTATTCAAACATTTGCTTACAAATTATATATCTGTCATGCTTTGTAAAGCTAGTTAGGCCTGAAAGTCTAGGTAGGTTTCTGTCTTCTTCTCCAATAGTCATGTGTAATAAAAATAAGGTTGATATTTTCTGAGCAAAATGTTCAGTTGAATTCATATAATAACTGATTGCTAATACTTGATTATAGAGAACTAAAAGAATATCCTGATAAATAAAGGAAAATATGAAATTAAAATTAGAGAAATTTATCAGCTTCAGCATTTCTAAGGAGAAAAGCAGAGTTACAAGTCAAATAGTTCAATCTCTAGTCAGATTTTAAAGACTTTCCATTCCCTAACCTAATTGGTTAGTCTAACTTCCAATGAGCTCCAGCCACACTGCTTCCAGTATTTCCCCTTAGATACTGCCCCCTCCCCTGCCCCCAAAAATTTTCCAGAAATGAAATTATCCCTTCACTCCCCTTGGGGGGGTGGGGGAAGTGCCTCCTCCCATTCCCAATCCAACCTTGCTCCATCCACATCAAACAAATACATAAACCCCTACCACATATGAAATCTTCTTGCATTCGTCATGGGACGGAGTGCCAATTACAGTGATCTGGATTTTCCTTCCCTTGGGGCAGCTTGGCCTGATTCTGAGATAGATGTTCTCCAAGCTCTGCCAAATGAGGAAAGGGCCTTCTATGCATACAAGCCACCACAAATCCATCCTAAGGTTGAGTAACTATCATGGTGGTAACGAATCTCTGTTTGACCTAAGGGTGTTAGAATTGGTTTGAGTAGAATAATTACTACCTATCAATATTCAGGAATGTAAAGGAAGTAACTTACCATGTTTCCTCCTTTTTTTTCTTGCAGCCTCAGCTGAGGGTTCTCCATAAACCCAGTTGGCCTTTCAAGCTGCTGTCCTGCCATTGGTGTGAACATGGCCTGACTCTAGAAAAAGACTAACTCGTGGCACTGCCAGAAGAGATCCTTGGAGCACTGAGAGATTAACTGGATTAACTGAAAAAACACTCATTCAATCAAGATTATGGGCTTTGGGGGAAAAAATCCTGGTTTGCTATGGATTTTTAAATGAGGTACATAATATGCAGTGCTAACTGGTTCCAAGTGGTCATTGGCAGACCATTAGCTGGAAAATTGCTTCCAGTTTTCATCACTGTGCATAACTCAAGTTCCCTTTGGGCTCTGTCTGTGCCCTTCACTAGAAGTCCTGTCTTAGCATGGCAACTACTGGATTATTTTATTATGTGTGCAGATGGCATGATGTTCTAGAAAAAAAAAATTAGAGCAGTTCTGCAATCTCAGTGGAAGTGTTCACAATATTATGTCCTGGTAGGATGTAAACCTGTCTCGATTATGTTAGTTATGATGTTCAAAGGTATTGTGTCCAACTCTGAAGCACTTTATATGAGATTACTATGCTGAGATCAATTAGCACGTTTGGTACATGTAGGAAAACAAGAGTTTTCTTTTTTCTTTTCTAAATCTTGTCATATTTCTGGCTCAGACTGTCTTAAGACAAGCTCTACTCCTAGCATATCCCCAGTCATTTGTGATAGATTGGTATAAATATGGCCATAATACTGTTAGATTTAACCTCTTCACACTTTGCTGAGTAACTGGATTACTTGCAGCACCAAAGGAAAGTAGAAGGAAACCTGGTGATTGGAATATTTGAGTTTTTGCTTCCTTATACTGAGGTACAACTTAACACATGCACATATAAACACTCAAGCACAGGAGGATTCTATTGGGCCAATGTATATATTCTCTTGTTCTATAGAATAGTTCTTCCAAAAACAAAGGAGGATGGTCTTCTTTTTATTAAAGATGGTGAGGGACTGATGCTAAGGGCCACAGAATGTAATTTTCCTATTTGGTCTTACTTTAATCCTTTGGAAAGTTTTCTAGGTCAAATTTAAATCACAATTCTGTAAAGACAAACAATATCAAGGGACTCTACATGTGCCTAGAGAAGAAAAAGGGTTGAGTCCCACACTAGGTTTTTCCTCATCATAGAGCCTAATCATCCCTTTGAGTCCTTTCTGGAATTATGTCTGGGACTAGTTATTTTTTTTAACTCTGTCCTACGATAAAGCACAGTCCTGGGGGTCCAGTCCACTCAGTGATTGCTTGCCTGAGCCCTAGAGAAAGGTTCCTATTAACTAGCCCTACGTAACACTTCAGCACTTTTTTCTTGGAAATATAAAGTTGGCTGAAACCAAAACTCACCAAAGTATGATCTCTGTGCTCACTTCCCCCAGCCTGGGACTAACAGGTATCAGAGGCTTCTACTGAAAAACAGATGTATCACTTCTGGAATCTCTCCAGCCCAAGCAAGCAGGGCCTGTGAAATGTCTTGCAGGTCGGTCTTCTCTTGGGGTCCCAGAAAGAGGAACAAGATCAGAATGTGAATCACACAGGACAGCAGCTCACATCAGAGTGACAGGCTGTAAAGAGAAGGAAGCTCTCAAAAAGCAACCAGAGAAGTTCTAGCCTTTAAACAGATAGAAACAGCAGAGTGTCGGCCTGTAGCAGACCTTCATTTTGTACCAATCCCAATGAGCCTCCCTCTCCTTCCCTCCCAACAGTTCCAACAATAGGGTCTCCCTTCCCTTTCTCTTTCTTTAATTCAGTATGTGTTGAGGATCCATCATGTGCCAAGTATTTCTGGTGCAATAATAATGCACAAGGCAGACTCTTCCTGCCATTCTTAAAAACTATCTCTTCCTCCCAAACACTACCACCACCCACTTTTTCCACAGTGAAAACTGAATTCAGACTGCATACACTCTCCTCCAGAGTATAAACTAGCCACATATTTGTACCTTCCTGTACAGTTAGCCCTTCTGTAGTGAGCTGATTAAAGCTTCCCAAAGCAGCTTTCAGTTACTTTCTTTGATGTCCACCTGGGTCACCAATATTCTCATCTTTGACGTAGATACAACCATTTATTACTCTACCATGGTCTCTAAAGCTCAATTCTATCACTAGTCCCAAGGACACTGAACTGACACTAATGAATCCTAAAACTTCCTGCCAGGTGCTGAGCTATTGTCACTGGGAACTACCTGGTGTAGCCAGGAACAGTCTGGGACTACTGCTAACCCTCCAGGGAAACTGGACATGCATTATGGTGCAGATGTTCACTAAATGACTGTGGTGCATTGTTACTTACTTTGGCTTTATGGCAAACTATTCTGAATAATTAAATAAGTAGAGTTTTCTGGAAACCACCCCCCCCCTTTATTTTGAGTCAAAGGTGTGCTGGAAAATTATTGAAAGTTAGAGATGGAAGAAGACAAAATGGAGACCATAAAGAACCCAGTGGAAAATGGTGTCCTTGAATGTGCCTTAATGCCTGGCACTCACCACCGTGTTTATATATGAACTCTTACTGTTTTCCAAACTGTCGACCTCTGTTTGAAATCATTTTGGAGCATTGTGTTTAGAAACATGGTGACATCAAATCTGAGCATTCACAAGCTAAGCCAGCAAAATGGAGAAATGATTTCATTCACATCCCTTGGCACCACTGTTCCATGGTGATGTTGTTATTTCCCATGGTTACTTCCTGCTGTGCTGTTTCTTCTTCCCAAGGAGGGAGAGAGGGAGAGAGAGAGAGAGAGAAATTTTACCTCCCAGAATTTGAGAAATGGATGTGGTGAGTTGAATTTAGTAGGAAGCAAGACATGGGAGGTAAGAGATAAATATTTTTTAATTTTTAAAGGCTGAAAACTGTTGAGGCTTAACTTTTCCTTTTACTGAAACCTGTCCTACACCTTTTATTAAAAGGCTGACACCCACACTTGTGTAGGAAAGGCACTCTTGGGAATGAACTGAAATGAATAATTATCAGGCTCGCCAGGGTGCCAAGGGGATTAGCTCATTCCAGATCCAGAACTGAATCTAAATATGCAAAGTCTTGGCAGTTCTGCTAGGATAGGAAGCAAATCACTTCAGTAGCTTGAGACTTGCCTAGGGGAAGAGGGACCCTAGCAACTTTCTTTATGGAGAGAGAATAGCAGACTCTCCAACCCCTGTGCAGCCTCTGTGAGGTATACACCCACAGATTTGACAACTACCTCCAGAACACGGGTAAACAACCGGGTTTCTCTCCAGAGTCACTTTGCAATTGCCCAACCAGAGGGTCACAGCACAGTTCTCACCTCTAAGGGAAACGTGTGATTTCTAGCACTCCGAGGGGAAAGGAAGCTCAACCTTCAGTGTGAATGTACACTAAGAACAAAACATCTAAGGGGATTACCAACCCTTCTTGCTGTTTGTAAATATTTTCTTTTTCCACAAGTGTCATATAATTGATTTGGAATGACAATAATAAAAGTCTCAAGGAAATAAACTTTCAAAGACCCCCTGAGCACTTGTGTTTTACCAAAACTTCCTCTTCCCAGTGTATTAGCAGCTTCGTGTTTTTTTGTTTTTGTTGGTTTGTGTTTTGGTTTCTTTCTTTCTTACTTTATTTTTTTTTGAGATGTTTGCCTGGAAATTTGGTAATTTTGCTACTTGACAGCTAGGCTTAAAGCAATCATAAACTTAAAAATCTAATCTTTGAAAGTGACACCAGTTTCTTTATTCCTTCAAAGCTGTTTTGGTTCACCTTTCCCCAGCCCCCTCTACCTGACTTTTTGCTTTGTTTTATGTGTGGTGTGTGTGATTTTCTTTTTCTTTTCATCTCTTTAAACAACATAGTATTGGAGGTTGATTTCAAGTATTCTATAAAGAAATCAAACTGAAAACATAGTCCTCATCTTTTTGCTCAGTCCTGACTAATAATTCCTTCTTAAGCTTGACCTTGATACAAGCTTTCTGCTCAAACATCTCCAGGAGGCGGCTGGTCAGTGGTGATCATCAAAACGAAGCCCTGTGGGATCAGGGAGAAGGACAGGCCCTGAGATGTTTTCACTTGGGCACAGCTGGGGACTCTTATTTCAAAGACAGGCAGGTCCTGCCCCTCTGTTTTCTTAGATCTGTGTGTAATCCTGGAGCCTAGGACTGTCTTGTGAATTCTGATTTATCAATGCACCTGATTCCTGACAGCAAAAGAAGGCTGCTGTTTCCATTATTTTAATCTGGTGGCTTTCCCTACCTCGAAAATAAGGAATAGCCCTCTGAAAGCTGTAGTATACTTGAGGAAAAGCTGCCGAAGCACAGGAGAAGGTTCTGCCATATTTTAATTTAAAGAAAAAATAGAGCTCAGGAAATTGGCTAAAGGAGCTGAGGTCAGTTCTATTGCCTTCTAGCCTTCACTTTGGCTCCACAGGAAAAAATCTGAGCAGGGGAGAGAAAGAGGGAACACACACTGTTTCTTAAATCTGAAAATTTTAGGCTGAAATTTACCAGAGACAGATGAACAGCATAAGTGCCATCCCGCAGGACACTGCTATTCTTCTTTCTGCCCAGAATCAAAGTGATAGACTTACACAGAACAAAAGAAGCTGGTGTGGAAGGTTTGGTGAAATTGGGGTCCCACTTGCCACATGAGGCTATTTAACAATCTTGAAGAACACTCTAATATCAGAGCCTTCCTCCTAATTATCTCAAACCCTAGAAAGTACCAGCAGCATACACTGACTATCGTTTCAAAGTCACCATAAGAATAGGGTTGAATTGCTTTCAGCTCCTTGAAATAATATGAAATGCTGTTGATTATATAAAATTTTTGTATCTTTGATGTATGGTTTAGAAAATTTCATTTGGTTATTTGTCTTGTTGCTTTCCAAACCTCAGATATTTCTAGAAGCTTAAGAAAAGATCTTGAATGCAAGATCTACCCGAAGTGCAGAAACACACAGCCCCACAAAAAGAATATTGAATTAATCGGATCTTGGAGGTACTCATACCTAAACAGATATGGAAAATGATTTTTTTATCTTCCATTGTGATTGGCTGGTTGACAGAAGATGGAATGCTGTCGAGTATATAAAGTTTTCATATCTTTGATACCATGGTTTGGAGAGTTCCATTTTGTTATTTGTCTTTTAGACTCTAGATAAATTCCAAAGCCAAGCATAATCGTAAAATTACGATATGGAATTTGTGGTATTGCCCTGACCCTTAATTTCTAGGATCTCTGAATCAATTCTAATTCTTTTTTTGTTGTTGTTGTTATTGGTGGTGGTGGTGGTGGTGGTGGTGGGGCTTGAACTCTGGGCCTAGGCACTGTCCCTCAGCTCTTCAGCTCAAGGCAAGTGTTCTACACTTGAGCCACAGTGCCATTTCTGGTTTTCTGGTGGCTTATGGGAGATAAGAGTCTCATGAACTTTTTCTGCCCAGGTTGGCTTTGAACCATGATCCTCAGATCTCAGCCTCCTGAGTAGCTAGGATTACAGGCATGAGCCACCAGCACCTGGCAATTCTAATTCTTTAAAAAAAATTACTTATTTCATTTTAAAGGTGATGTACAGAGGGATTACAGTTCATAAGTCAAAAAGGCCCTTGATTACCAGTGGGAACTCGAAGAGTGTATGGGGTAAAGAATGTCAGAACATTGTCAGGTTCATTTTTTTTCAATGTGTTTGTTGTTTGGTTGTTTGGTTGATTGGTTGGTTTTGCCAGTACTGTAGCCTGAACTCAGGGCCTCGTGTTCTCCCTTGGCCTTTTCACTCCTGGCTGGTGCTCTACCACTTGAGCTATGTCTCTAGTTCTTTGCTTTGTTATTGTATACTTTTCAGGATTAAACCCAGGGCCTCTGGCTTGCTACCTGAACTGCTATACCAGGAAGCTACCACCACCACCACCCCACCCCAACCCATTACTTCCATTCATATTTCACACACACACACACACACACACACACACACACACACACACACACACACCTTAGATCACCAGTCTCTACAGTGAGTGTTGGTCCCACTGAAGACAACAGGGCTTTCACTTACGTAAACTCACACTAGGCAATCACAAGGGTCTCTGAGGCTCAGTGTAGTTTCTCTCTCACTGTCTTTTTTCCACCAATGAGGAAATGTCATCTTATAATAAAGGCCATACTAGAAAAGATCAGGATTTGTCTAGTCAAAGGAGCCCACATTCTAGAGAACTATTGTCACTCTGAATCTCAAGTCATGTCTGAGGTAGAAGTAACTGGCCTGCTGAAAAGCCAAGCCAGAACAAAGGTTCTGAAACTTAATTCCACTGAAACTTACAGCCCTAAATCAAACTACTGTAGTTCCAGTTAATCTATTTAATATCATTAGGCACTAAATTAAATAGCTTTACACAAAATTTTAGAAAAGATCGATAGTGTAACAAAATTACGTATTAGCAGTAAAAAGCACCTGAGAAAAGAAAATATTGATCTGTTGTGGTTTATATACTTGAGTTATTCTTAGGACTTTGTAGAGATTGGCACTGTTATGATAAAGGAGAATAAAGTGTTTTGAATTCAACAATGCTGGACTAGTAGAAATGATCCAAACTTTCTGGGTCTCTGCCTGTTTGGGATGTTCCTGTTTAGAAACTAAAAGGAGCTAATGGGAAAAGCTGTCTCATAGCAGCAATATAGACCAAATTATCATGGTGAGCATAGTTATTGGCTTTGTTAAATGATATCCTACCTTACTTGAAGGTTTCATCTGAAAGCTGTCATTACTGAGACTTCACTTTGGTATTCAGAACCAAAAAAAGAATGACAAGAAGGCAACAATTAGAATTTTAAAGACACACTTATCTTTTTCTAACGTAGAGGAGCTGATCTGCCAAAATGGCCACCATTTATATCCACTTTACCTCTCCAAGGTTCAAGTCTCAATGGCTACCAAGGGAGTAGTTCTCTTCCAGCTTGGCTCCCCCTGCCAGTCTTGAGTGGGAAGACCAATGTACAGTGTGAGATTGGCACACTGAGGAAGCAGACAGCCATACCAGATTTCCTTGATGAGGATCTATGGCACATTTATATTTGTTCAAGGAAAGAAAAAAAAAATCACATGATCTAAAGTAAGTCTAAGACCAATGTTCTGTACAAAGTCTGAGGGGAAAAATCTTATTTTAAAAAAAGATTGGTCCATTCTTTTACCAACAGTAACAAACATAGCTAAAAACCACCTTTCATAACACAGAAGCCTATGTCGGTGGCAGACATTTTTACAGCTTCCTTAAGTGAACCGTTAAGCCAGTACTCTGAATTCTGTTGGTCCTTCAAGAGTGGTTAATTAGTATTTCCCTTATGCATTGCCCACAACCTCCTTCCCCCCTTCCCTCCCTCCCTCCCTCTCTCTCTCTGTCTCCCCCCCTCTCCTTCCCTCTTTCCTTCCCTCTTCCCTTCCCTTCTTTCCTCTCTTCAGCTCCCCTGCATCCCTCCCTCTTTCCCTCTCTCCTCTTTTTCTAGCCCTCTCCCTCCTCCTTCCTCTCTCAGACAGATTCCCAGGCCCCAGACTTTGGAAAGCACAAACAAGTTACCTGGCAAAACAAGAGTGCCTTTTCTGTTGGGTGTTACTCTCAGTCCCTGGATTCCCAGGGCATAAGATGTTTAGAAACATTTTTTTCCTCTCTAAGAATTATTGTGCACCACAATTTTGAACCACTGATTTCTGTATCTTAAGCAGCTACCAACTTGCCAATTCCCTTTGGGTCTCCTTTGTATTTTCTTATATTTCCTTCTGTTTAGGGTTTTCTTCAATAATAGCTGGGGAGGGGCATGATTCTTTTTAAACTGATTTAAAAAAATGAAATAAAACTGTATAGATTTTTGCCCACTTGTATCTGTGAGCATGATCTCTATCAGGCTTGAAAATCTGCATTACCATTTTGTATATTTGACTATTTTGTATTCCACATTACTTGTCTCCTTATGTGCATGGCAATGTATTAAAATGTGGGATTTCTATTACCGTGTAAAAGTGTTTTGATTCTGATTTTCAACATATATCCTTGGCGAAAAAAAATTACATTAAACTTTTCATTTCTATTTTCTTCAGCTCATCAGTTTTGCAAAAGAGAAAGAAAAGTTAACAGCATTTCACTTTCCTTGTGTTAGCTAATGATGCAATTCATGGTGGAAAATTGTCCCCAATTATGCTGTGTTTCCTGGAGAAATAATATATGTGGAATGAATTGGTAGCTTTCCTCTAGCTTCCAGCATACAGAATTCCCCTAGCACCGAATCCCACCAGTATGATGCTCTTACTGTTCAGTGCTTCAGTGGCGAGCACAGATGGACCACAGTTAGAACTCTTTTCATCTCCAGATATGGTAACACATCAGAGATAGACAAGATAACACATCTTAGTCCACCAATTTTCTCTCATCCCTACTCCTGGCTCCAGAGTCTTAAGTGCTTACAATAGCCTGATAGATGGTATTTCCCATCACCTCCTGTCTGCATCTCAGGTAGACTGTCTTTCATCAATACAGATAATGACCTTCAAATAACACCTATACAAGAGGGCAAGAATTAGAAAACAAGGCTCCCAAATAGACTTGGTATAACCAGTTATCCAGCTCAGCAAACATCTGGATATCTGTCTCATCCACATATTCGAAAGATGCACAAAGTAAGTTTTTTTCTTAAACTGAAAAAAAAGGACTCACAAATATAAGCAAGAGACCATTTTGCCTGATCCACACCACAGTTTTCACACTCTTTTTTTGTCTCAAGGCGATATTGTAATGAACACTCTAGACCACACCAGGACTTTAGTTAAGTGTGATCAATTGCCTCAAACAGAGCAGGAAAAACACATTTTTCCAGAAAGAAAAAAACCCCGTATCAATACTTCAACAAAAATAAAAAAGAAACTTGCTTCCTTTCTCTAACATGCTTGTCATATATTAATACTTGTCTTTATTTCCAAAGAGAAGGATTCCAAAGCAAAACCTGTGGGCTAGCTCACTGACTTGATGAATAAATGCTCTAAATATTCTGCAAACCTTGTTTTTTAATATATACTTTTTATTGTAAAGATATCGTACAGAGGGGTTACAGTTACATGAGTAATGAGTACATTTCCTATCGAGCATTGTTACCCCCTCCTTTGTTTTTCCCCTACCATCCCTTCCCACAGCAACTCCCCAACCCCTCCCTCCCTCACCAAAGTTCTAAAGTTCATTTTCAACATACTGTCTTGTACATCTCACTGTTACAATGGGTCAACCTGTATCCTTATTTCAGCATTTTATTATTTCCTTTTCCCTTCCCAAATTAGAAACATGTATATGCAAGATGCATATACACTGCCATAAAATACAGTGAAAATGGGGGTTATACCGGAGTGGGGGAGGGGGAACATACAAAAGAAACAAAAAAATTATAGTACATTCTAAGTACATTAAAAACAACAGCAAGAAAGATAAAACCTCTTGTGTCCCTATCTTGGGGTTCATTTCGCTTAGCATCATCTTTTTTTTTCTCTTTTTTTTTTTTATTGTGAAAATACTGTACAGAGGGATTACAATTACCTGGGCAAGGTAATGAGTACATTTCTTATCAAGCATTGTAGCCTCCTCCTTTGTTTCCCCTTCCCATCCCTTTCCATCCTTCCCCCCACCCCCCTACCCAACCCTCCTCCTCCCCCCCCTCCCCTGCACCAAAGTTGTAAAGTTCCTTTTCGACATAACGACTTGTACATCTCATTGTTGCAATGAGCCCACCTGTATCCCTATTTAAACGATTTTTCCCCTTCCCCTCCACAAATTATACCAACATCAAATACAGTGAAAGCAGGGGTTATACTGTGGAGGAGGGACATACAAAACAACAAAGAAATGATCTTATAAATGTGTTAGAAACAATTGCATGAAAGAAAAAAAAACATTTGAATACATATCTTAGGGTTCATTTCCCTAACATCAACTTATCTGACTTTTTCTGCCTAACTCAGACATATACTAGATACTGCAAATAAGAGAAACCATGAGACCTATGTTTCTTTGGGCCTGGCTTACTTCACTTAATAGAATTTTTTCCAAGTCTTTCTATTTCCTAACAAATGGGGCAATGTCATTCTTTCTGATGGAGGCATAGAATTTCATTGTGTATATATACCACATTTTCTTGATCCATTCATCTACTGAGGGGCATCCGGGTTGGTTCCATATCTTAGCTATAGTAAATAATGCTGCAATAAACATAGTTGTGCTGGTAGCTTTAGTGTAGTCTTGTTTGTGAACATTTGGGTAAATGCCCAAAACTGGGATTGTTGGGTGATAGGGGAGCTCTATGTGGAGTCTTTTGAGGAACCTCCATACAGCTTTCCAAAGTGATTGAACAAATTTACACTCCCACCAACAATGTAGTAAGGTTCCCTTCTGTCCACATCCCCTCCAGCATCTGTTGTTATTAGAGTTCTTGATTTTAGCCATTCTAACTGGAGTGAGGTGGTATCTCAATGTTGTTTTGATTTGCATTTCTTTTTTTTTTTTTTTTTTTTGGTCGGCCGTGGGGCTTGAACTCTGGGCCTGGGCGCTGTCCCTCAGCTCTTCAGCTCAAGGCGAGCGCTCTACCACTTGAGCTACAGCACCACTTCTGGTTTTCTGGTGGTTTATTGGAGATAGGAGTCTCACGGTCTCTCCTGCCCGGGCTGGCTTTGAACCGTGATCCTCAGATCTCAGCCTCCTGAGTAGCTAGGATTACAGGCGTGAGCCACCAGCGCCCGGCTTGATTTGCATTTCTTTTATGGCTAGGGAGGTTGAGCATTTCTTCATGTGTTTATTGGCCATCCTTCTTTCCTCTCCAGAGAACTTTCTCTTTAAGTCTTTAGCCCACTTATTTATTGGGCAGTTGTTTCTTTGAGGATTTGTTGTTGGGGGATTTAATTTTTTGAGTTCCACGTATATTTTAGATATGAGACCCTTGTCCGTCGTATGGCTAGTGAAGATCTTCT